GGCTCCGCACCCCCAGGCTCAGCACCCCGAGCAGGACCACTCGCAGGAGGACCTGAGTCACCAGTGACCTCAACCGGCGCAGTCAAGGGAGGAGGGTCTACCTGAGAAACACCTGAAGGAGCAGGACCGGGAGCGGGGAGGGGGTCTACCTGGGGAGCACCTGGAGCAAGGAAGAGCGGCGGGGGGGGGAGCGAGGCAGTGCGGTAGGGGAAGAGACGGTAAAAGGGAACCGACTCGTCGAACGTGACGTCCTGAGACGCAAAGACACGGCGCGAGGTGGGGTGGTAAAACTGCCAACCAGGCGCGTCAGGGACAAAGCCAAGGAAGACACAGGGAACAGCGCGGGCGGAGAGCTTGTCCGCGGTGGTATCGCGGACAAAGGCACGAGCACCCCAGACCCGGAAACGCGACGCATCGCCAACCTTCCCCGTCCACAGCAGTGTGGGCGAGGTCTCCGGCAAGGAGACACGGGGCCAGAGGTTGAGCTGATGCGCGGCGTACCGGACCGCAAACGGCCACAGAAAATGGGGGGCAGCCGCATGGATCATGGAGGTACGAGCGACCTCCATGACTAAGCCAATGCGGCGCTCAGCAACCCCATTCTGCTGCGGAGAGGCCGGAAGCGTGAACGACTGGGTGATGCCGTGCTCCGCACAGTAGGCTGCCAAGAGGTCGGAGGAGAACTCACCACCTCTGTCAGAGTGCAGACGCAGGACAGGAAAGTCCGACCGGAACCGCTCGCGGAGCTGGAGACGAACAGCGCGGATCCAGGGGATCAAAACAGCAGGGACGTCCCCCTTGCTCTGCAAGGGGAAGACCGTGGTGTAACGCGTGTAGTCGTCGACGACCAGCAGGAAGTACCGCTCGCGGCCCTGTCCCTGGACGCGGGCTGGGCCCCACACGTCCAGATGGAGCGTCTGCAGTGGAGCCTCTGTGGGAGGAAACGAGGAGGAGTGAGGAGCGGCGCGCTGCCGCCCCTCGACGCAAGGAATGCAGGGCGGCGCAGGCAAGGGAGGGAGGGCAGGCAGGGACCTGGGAAGACCAGAGACCAGGGAGCGAGAGTGCATGCTACGCAGGCGAGGCAAGGAGGGGTGACCAAGGCGGTGGTGCCACAGGAGAGTGTCGTGCGACAAAGCGCGACACTCGCAGGGGGCCGCCAGCTGACCAGACGCAGACGCAAACGCAGACGCAGCTACCTGAGGGGACTCAGTGGTCAGTGTGTACAGACTCGAGCCAGGTGCACGGGTGAACGTGGCCAAGTGCCGGCCCGTCCTAGCACACGTACAGTGAGTCACTCGCTGACTCGCAGGAGTGAACTGGTCAACCCCCCCATCCTGGAGGTCAGCTCCACTCACCAAGTTCGTAGAGAACGAGGGGAGGTAAAGACCTGACAGCGAGCCGGACGGGACGGCCGGACACGGCAGAACCGTGGAATAGTGGGCAAGGACTGGACCCCCAGAGGGGTCCGCCAGGGAGACCGGGACTGGCCGACGGAGCGGCGTAAGTGCGGTGCAGTCGCGAAAGAAGGAGCGGGAAGCTCCTGAGTCAAGGGTGAAGGTGTGCGAGACCGCAGTGGGCGCAGTACCAGAGAGAGCAGACACAGCAGCACCTGATGCCACGGCCTCACCAGTACCTAGAGCAGTAGACGTACTAGCACCGAGAGCAGCAGCCTCACCAGCACCTAGAGCAGGAGACGCACTAGCACCTAGGGCAGCAGCCTCACCAGGGTCAGGCGGTACGCACAGGCAACAGGCACGGTCAGCACTAGTAGACAATGCATACATGGCAGTGAGAATAGCATCATAGTCAAGCGCAAAGATATCTACCCTCTGTCTATGCAGCTCCAGCCAGGTGGGGAGCTCAGCCTCGTCGCCAAACACTGTGCGCCAGTCGTCGCTCAGACGGGCGAAGCAGCGGGACTGTGTGTGACCAAGCGTCCCACAAGGCTGACCAGTCCTAGCACCTGTGCGAATGACGTACGGGCAGCGGACTGTACGCGTAGACCTGCTACACTGAGCGTACCACTCCTGGAGCTGCCGGGGCGTAAGTGTCTCACGTGGACGTCCCTGCAGCTGCAGCTGGCCACTGCCAGACGCTCCCAACTGACCAGCTCCAGGGCGACAGCTACGACGGCTACCGCGACAACCCCAGCTAGTATACCACTCACTAAGCTGCTGAGGCGTCAGAGGCTCGCGTGAATGTCGCTGGAGCTGCATCTGGCCACCTGCCAGTAGCAGTAGCGCAGGAAAGGCAGGCGCGGCAGGCAGGCAAGCAAGCAGGCAGGCAGGCAGGCAGGCAGGCCGGCAGGTAGGCAGGCAGCCAGGCAGGCAGGCAGGCAGACAGACAGGCAGGCAGGTAGGCAGGCAGGCAGGCAGGCAAGTAGACACGCAGGCAGACAGGCAGGCAGGCAGGCAGGCCGGCAGGCAGGCAGGCAGCCAGGCCGGCAGGCAGGCAGGCAGACAGGCAGGCCGTCAGGCAGGCAGGCAGGCGCTCACCAAAGGCTGGGAGAGCAGGGCCGGCGCTCGAGTAGGCGCACGACAGCGGCGACGTCGGGGCCGCAAAACCGGCTGCAGAGCAGGGCCGAAACAGCTGGAGGGCGCTGCCGCGTCAGCGGCAGTAGCAGGGTGGGGCCGCGTCAGCGGCAGGTCGGGGTCGTGGCAGCTGCAGGGCGGGGCCGCATCAGCGGCAGGTCGGGGCCATGGCAGCTGCTGGGCGGGGCCGCATCAGCGGCAGGTCGGGGCCGAGGCAAAGGGCCGCGCGCGGCCGCGCTAGGGAGTAGCGGGCCGCGCGCGGCTCGGCGCGGGCTGTTGCGGGCCGCGCGCGGGCCGTGCGAGGCAGGAGCAGGCCTCGCGCGGCTCGGCACGAGCTGCTGCGGGCCGCGCGCGGGCTGCGCGAGGCCGTAGCAGGCCGCGCGCGGCTCGACGCGGGCTGCGCGGGCTCGGCGCGGGCTGCGCGCGGCAGCTGCGAGCTGCGCGCGGCTCGGTGCGGGCTGCGCGCGGTTGCAGCGGGCTGTGCGCGGCTCGGTGCAGGCTGCGCGCGGCTGCAGCGGGCTGCGCGCGGCTCGGTGCGGGCTGCGCGTGGCTGCAGCGGGCTGCGCGCGACTCGGGGCGGGCTGCGCGATCTCGGTGCGGGCAGCGCGCGGTAGCAGCGTGTGTGCGGGCCCGACAGGCGTGTAGAGGCGGCGCGCGGGCCTTACGGGCCTCTAGGGGCAGCGCGCAGGCAAGGCAAGGCAAGGCAAGGCATACAAGGCAAGGCAAGGCTACGTGGGGTAGCGCGGTAACCGCAGCGGTAGGTGGGCCCGAAAAAAAAAACGGTCCTACGGACCTTAGTGCTCTGAAACCATGTTAGAATCTAGCAGCAGGAATGGATGAACTAACAGGATGCAGGAGTACAAGTAGTAAACCCTAACTAGGTTGTACCCCATGTGGGCTACCCCACTACAGCCTAGACAATATGCAGCACATATAGTTTGACACAAGCCATGGCCGGGACTCAAGGAGAACGGTACGTGGGAGAAGAAGAGCTGCTCGCTGCTCTGATGATGATAAATACAACCCATACAGCTCAAGCTCTAGCTTATAAAAAAAAAAAAAGATAAATACATCAGCATGTGAGCCGTCTATTTTTTAAGCGCCTTGAAAATAGTTGCTCCATCTAGTAGTGATAACTACCTCAGGTCATGTGATATTCTGATCATGTGATAATGAGATTATGTGATTATGTGATGTGAAACATGAGGCCGGCGAATTTTCAGCGGAGCGGAGCGGAGTGGGCTCCAAGGCCAATGATAATGGAGATGCACGCAAGAGGACAGCCTAGCGATTCCTGTGACCTGACCGACGCGAGGGGTTGGGGAAGGGCGGGAGGAGGGGTTGCAGGGGGGTGGGGTGATGGGGGGGGTGGGGGAAGGAGATCGTGCGCTGCCATGCATGGATGGTTTGGATTGGACCGTTCGACCCTGACCTTGACGGCTTTTGACGCGCCTCGAAAGTTCAGCCTCACCGGAACGGAAGCTGCATGCGCGTTTGCGCTGCTCGATGCGCTCTAGGCTGCATGCATGTAAAACTCGTTGTCAGGAATCAGGTGTGTTGGAGTAGACTAGAACCATCAGTGGCAATAGAAGTTTTTTACTCCTCACTTGAGAGTTTTTTAACATCCGTCGTTTTCATGAGCCCGTGTCGCTCTGTGTTCATCCTTGTCTCTTAGGCACTAGATCCTAAATTGGTAGTGGGTTCTCTACTAGTATTGCTGTTTGTTGGCTGGTCTTCAGTTGCCAAATCTCATTACTCAAATCAGTCTTGCATAGACCCTTCTACGCCATTAATCACCCTAGTTTGGAAATAGCGATGTTTCTTCGCTCTCTGTCGCGTTCGCTTCTATCGAATACAAGCACACCCCGACTCGTTTCAGCAGCCACACCAGTGCTATCATCGCAAGTTGTTACACTAGGGGTTCACGAGATCCAGTCGCGAGGAGGCGAAGCCGCACCGTTTCGCAACATGACGTCGCAAGCCCTGCCGCAAGAGCCGTGCCGCGAGTCGCCTGCGATGATCGTGCACGTCAGCACGTCACACAAGTTCATGATGAGCGACGGGGAGGCCTTCGCCGAATACGACCTTCTATCGCCTTGCCAGGCCGCCGCGTCGTCGGAAGCTTCCGTAGCAACCACCGCGACGAGCGCCGGGAAAAGCGGCGGCGTGACGAGCGGCGCAAAACGCGGTGTGATGGACATCACGCACACGTACGTCCCGCCGAGTCGACACGGCGAGGGCCTCGCGGCGCGGCTGTGCGAAGCCGCGTGCGACTACGCCAAGGAGAACGGGCTCTACGTGCGACCCACGTGCTCTTATGTTGAGGTACGTGCCACTCACGTGCCAGCCACGTGCTCTTATGTCATGGGTCTCTTCAAGTACTATTTAACAACCAGGCCAGGAGAAGAAGGGGATGAGGACCTGGGAAAGCTGGGAAACGTGGTGGGGGCGTGAAGGGGCATGCTAAACCTTACCTAGGTGGTTCTGATGGTGGTAGTCGTTTTTTATTTGTGTACGGAACTTTCACTGCATGAGCCCTGGCCTCCATGTGCTATATTCCTCTGTATCATACCCACTTTTGCAGCCGTTCCACTTCCCCTCCCGCTCCCCTTCCTTTCAACTGTGCCATTCCGTCCCTCCATCACATCTTATCAGGTTTCATCACACTTTTATCCAAGTTCATCCGTGCTCACATAATTTCTGTTGGTTTCTGCAAACTCCAAAAAAGTCTTCCTTGTCATCCTCTAACAATCACACCTCACCCTATTTTTTCCCCTTCCTAAAAGGAGACGTTCATGAATCATGAAGCGACACCCTTCCTGCCGTGACCTGTTGGAGGAGCCCTCTTCCCATCATGTTATTGCCATCTCACAATCACTCCCTCACCTTTCTCCCTTTTTCCTTCCCTTCCTGAAAGGAGACGTTCATGAAGCGACACCCTTCTTGTCGTGACCTGCTTGAACCCGGCACTCTGCGACCCACCCTCTGAGACGCACAACCACTTGCATACTCGTTATAAACTTACTCTCGTTAGGAGGTAATGGCACTGGTGCAACTTGCTGCAGGCCTGCACCGCACCCTGAGTTTGACCTCCCTCTTTTTAGCTACAACTAGCACCAACAGTGCACCAACTGATCTGATACAGCCCTAGAGAAAGTTCCTTCCTTACATCTAGCCTAGCATAGCATGTAATGGAGCAAGAGAGCATTTGTTGACATGCCTGTACATAATATTACCAAATACCACACTGCCAATTAAAAGCTGAATGAACAAATTCTTTGAAGTTACAGACCAAGAGTGGGTGAGACTACGTTGGTTCTACCTGGTACTGGATGCCGACACAATCCACTCCCTTAGCTTCCTTCCTCTCATGATTCATCTCATTCACTCATACAAAACATACCCAGTCCTTTGAGATTACCATACAATATCATTCGTTCTCCTGGAACACAGCTTCACGCTACAGTACACATATCTGTGTGATTAAGTGAACGACCCTACTGGATACTGCATCCTGGTTTTGGAGTCGATCATCCATCTCATGTCATGTCACGTCAAGGTCACAATATCAATATCGAAGCAACCGCGAGTGCAGCTGCAACTAGCTTCCTCACTCCTGACAGCTCCGAAACCTCTTACGGTTGAAACCAATCATCTCGCTTGAGCAGAACCATCGCCAGCACAAGCCATGTTGCTGCATTCTCCCGGCCGTCTGGTATGAGAACAAGGGAAACCGCTGCTGCAGCTAACACACCCATGGACACTGCGTGCTGCTGCTTCCTTCCAAACAGCGCTGTGATTATCTGACCCCCATCCAGAATACCCACAGGTAGCAAGGAGAGAGAGGAGAGGTTGATCCCGAGCAATCCAGCTAGAATGAGAGGGTTTATTGCGAGATCCACTGTAGAAGCGCCCGTGGAGACTGTAGGCTGTAGGGAGTCGGGGCTAGTAACGAGTACGGCCGATGCTAGATCAGAGGCAAGAGAGGCGAGAGCATTGGAGTGCGAGAAAAGGAGGCTGGAATGGTGACTACATCAGGAGTGATTGTATCAGATTGGAGGAGGCCGAGAAGGATTAGAGCAGCAGATGCAGAGAAGGAGGCAATGGCACTGCTGAGAAACAGATCCAGGAGAATGGTGCGGTTTGGATGTAACCCTTTGTACGGGGATAAAACTCCAAATAACCCAAAGGCAGGGGAGGGTAGAGGGAGAGGGGTATCTAGGGCTTGAAATACCCCGTGTTGCTGTGCTGCTATAGCCCTCCCCCCAGCACCGGCAGCAGCCACTAAGAGCACGCCAAGTGGCACAGAGGCAGCGGTGAGGAGAGGAGACGTAGTGGGAGAGAGAGTAGGGTCAAAAGAGAGAGAGAGGAGGAGAGGATGAGGAGGGAGAGCGAGAGAGTGAAGCAGGAAATGAAGGCAAAGACGGGTCGGGGGAAGGAGAAGGAGAGGAGGTGTTGCCGCGAGCAATAAGGACGCTGATTGCCGGCCGGATGTCGTCTCTAGCGAGCACTGCGCAGAGGCCCGGGAATGAGGTGTCTGGGCGCGCCTGGTGGGAGAACGGTGGACAGACGTGAGGAGGAGGAAGGTGGGAGGAGGGGAGCAGGAGCAGGAAAGAATAAGAACAAGGGAAAATGAATGGAGGGAGTAAGGGGTTGGTTGAGTGAGTCATAAGTACAGGCTGATGCATTGTTGACCAGGCCAGCCAACACGGAATAGAAGTGGGTAATTTGGATAGGTTGGAATGGCATTGCCTTGCCACACACACCCTGATAGCAAAAGCAACGAAGCCATACTTGAATGGTGTTGTAGACAAAGGGAGCGGGAGCAGAGAGGCGGCCATAGAAGACCACGCTCTACTGGCACTGACGTGGATTCACTGCTGACTCAAATTCAAACCCTAATGACGTCAGCACCTTGAGGGTACAAGCAGTAGAGGGGAAGGCCGATGTAATGTAGCAAGACCAGAACGGGGGGTTGGGGTCAGGAGGAAAAAGAAGGAATACATTTCAACCGGTTGGGAGTTTTCCTCTTCTTATATCTCAGTACAAGTCTGAGCAACAGATCTAAGGTCAGTCAGACCGAAAAAGAGCTTGTGGCTGGAATAAGCAGAAAAGAGAGTAGCGAGGAATTCTCTTTCACAAAGAATGAACAAGAACTTGTGCAAAAAGAACACTCGGCGCTGCATAGAAATAAAAGTGGCTTATGCCCTGGAAGGCTGGAACAATATGGCCCATGACAGATAACCATACCTTTTCCTTGATAGCTTCTGTGTCGACCTGCTTCAGAGGTCGGCCATTCTCAGCCAAACAGGGGCACATCATAGAAGGAAAAGCAGTATTTGTGTGTGTGTGTGTGTATGTGTGTGTGTGTGTGTGTGTGTGTGTGTGTGTGTGCGTGCGTGCGTGTGTGTGTGTGTGTGTGCGTGTGTGTGTGTGTGTGTTTCTTTCTTTCTTTCTTTCTTTCTTTCTTTCTTTCTTTCCTTACTGCCATATTTGAATATTCGTAATTGAACAGCGGACTCAACCTCCCGAGAAAGCAACAAAGATCATTGGATTTCTCTCACCTCTCCATCTCACCAGCACAAGAAATGACTTCTGTCCAAGGAGAAGCAGAGGGCTTACGAGGGCATGTACTGCACGCTACATCACACTCTCATGACAAAAAGTTTGAGTCGGAGCCTACTTACAAATTACAACAGCCAGTCACACTTACCTTGAAGTAGATGTCATGAATGAGCCGTTCTTCTTCCTCCCTCCCCCTCTTAACCCCCACACCATCAGGGTCGAAAAAGAAATCACTTAGGGGAAATGGTACTGCCTGTCGCCAAGCTGACGTGGCAGTCGCGAGCGTTTCACCATGGATACGTACGCCGCCTCGTCAGCAATGAAAGTGCGCGTTTCACCTGTCGTTGCTGGAAACTGCTGCTGCTGCTGCTGCTGCTGTTGACTCTGGTGTTGCTACCTCCTCACTTTTTGACGAATCTACGAACGTGACTGTTGAGGGAGTATCAGATGAAGCAGAGGCATCGCCAGCAGCAGCAGCAGCAGCAGCCGCGGCGGCGGCGGCAGCAGCTTTTGGAGCTTGCTGTCTCTGCTCATTCTGCTCAATCAGACTTAGACCACTCTCCCTGACTGCTCCCTCTGACGCACCGTCCGCACCTGCTGTCAAACGCCGAACCTCGTCGCCAAGCGCGATGGTCAGGTTCGGCAAGACTTCCACTTTGATGGGCTTGTCGTCATTCCCGCCATTCCCTTGGTCATTCCCGATCCCTGATCGTGCTGACTCAGCACGAATGACTACCCGGCTAGGTTTCCAGTGACAACGCTGGCGGGAATGGCGACGACTATTGACGTGGCACGATGCGAGGTGGGAACCGTCGCGAACAGTACTGAAATACTAGCCGTGCAGTGAGGGGATCCCAGTCATTTGACGAACACCGCAAGTACGAAAAGCTTCGTTGTCTGCTAATGCAGTGACACAAGGTGAACACATCGAGCTTGCCATTGTGGCCTAGATAACAGAACGAGAATAGAAAACAAAGAATCCCCGCCCTAGCCGCGGATGAGTTATCCGTCCATGACGGCGGATTTATGTTTTTCTACACATGATTCCCAACCCCTGCACGCGAATTTGGCCTACACCGGATGGAAACCTTGCACCCGTGTTTTTTTTGCCGTAAAGTTGCACCTACGTTACAAGCACTTCGAGCAAGTTGCGGTGATTTTCACCAATACGAACCACAGAAACTGAAGTTTCACTGAAGAGACCGAAGTCAAACAGTCAACGGTGAGTTACAAAATTTTTTATAAGCCCTTATAAGCACCTGACGAATCTTTTTTTGCTAGCTGCGAACTGACGAAACCTTTGCGGTTATCTCAGAATCACTTACAAGCCCCCTTCACAAGGCAACCTCGGATTAGTAAAACGAGCATCATGTGTACTTCATTTCACCAGGGGATCTTCGTGTCTTCTAGAGTGCGGGATTGGACAGAAATAACCTTCCCCGATTGCACTGTCAGTTTTACCGTCGAATGATTGATGGATTGAAATGTCTAGGGAGCACCGCGCGTCGCAGGGTTTTAGCATGAGGGGTTATAATATTTAGAATAGTAGGAACATGTGAAAATTATTCAACCTATACGTTATTTTGTACAGCTACGGTACAAGAATAGGGACAAATGTAAGCAGCAAGATTGACGGAGCTGCGAGCATGCAAACCTTGTTGCGTGCTGTCATCTTTTGCGAGCTTCTAATTTTTTTGCCTCCTTTGCTGCACGTGCAAGTGACAAGGGATAATCAATAAATGGGAAAGGTGAGCTTGCTGAAGGACAAGGAACAAAATCAATACCAGGAACATATGAAGAAACACTGTTAATACCCACAAACACCATCACATAACCAAATACTATCAAATCACTCTGTATAAGTGCACTTACCCAAGCGCTCCTCCTCTTTATTCTTAGCCGCCTCTTC